CAAATGGTAATTTCTAAAATTATATATAAGTGTGTTAAAAATACAACAAACAACAGATAAAAAATGAACTAAGAAAAGATGAAAAAATCCTGAAATCGCTGATATACAGCGAACTCTACAAAAATTACTACTATCTCGTCTCATATGATGAAACAACTAAGAAGGCGATTATTAAAATCGGTAAAATCACGAACAAAAAAATCATAGACAATGAAGAAAAAACCCTGTTCAAACTCATATTAAACAACGTAATCGAAGAAGCTAAGAAAAGAATCTGCGAAAAAATCATCGAAAAACATCAAGACCTTTTCGATGAAATTAAGAGTAAAATCAATACCTGTTACAAAGAAGAATTCTTTGAATTTTTAGACAGTACCATTGAAGATTTTGTCACTAATAATATCGATAAATTTATATTCGCATCAATCTTTCGTACATTTACCAAATATTACTACTTTCACGTTTCTGTTGGTGAAGAACATAATATGCTTACAGAAGATGAAAAAATCTTTTTTAAGAATTTATTGACAAAAGTAATTGAATATCAAGAACAAAAATTTGGTAAAACATCATTGAAAATGCTTAAAATTATAAATGAAATTGAAAAAAAAATTGAAAAATCCTCTAAAAGAAAATTATTCAAATACTTAAATTTACTATTTTGTAATATTATTATTAACAAATAAAGAATAAAAATATTTTTGATATTTCATAAATTCTTGTTCAAGTTTTAACCTATATTCAACAATCTCATCCATCTGCTCATATGTGTAATTAACAATAAATGGAGATGAAATATCATCAAAAATCATGTACTTTTCTTGATACATCTCTGGAAATTTTCCATGAAGCGTATACATAAGCTCTTTGAATTTTCCGTCTTGATACTTTGTAAAAGTTAAATAAAGTGTTTCAGCTAACACATTCTTGTATTCATTGATACGAAAATCGCGCTTTACAATATGACAATTAACAGAAAGATAATTGATATTCTCATCAATTGTTTGATGAAAATTAATCAGTTGTTTATGTTCCATTTTTAATACAAATAAAAATTACATAATTTATTTTCCTCTCGGTACCAAAAATTTGATACTAAGAAGAAATTCACAAGTAGAAGATAAAGTTATTGGTTAAAATTTTTGGTTTGTTCCCAACTAACCTAGCATAACAATCATCGCATAATTTATGAGAATGATAAATATAATTTCTAAATTCACATGCATAAATAAAACAATTACAGACAAATATTTCAGTTAAATACGTAAACTTTAAACAAACATCACATATTTTCTTGTTGGCATCTAACACAAAATCCTTTTTAAATGGGTATAATCTGCATCTTGAACTGATTTTGGATTCATTTTTTTCTAATCGAGAGTATACAACACCATTCTCTTCACGATGAATTAAGCATCTTTTATTGTCTTTAAACCAGAACCACCAGTTATCCACTTTTTTAATTTCCTTGTAAAAAACTAATTTCTGTTTATTAGAAATTGGATTAAAAGTATTAATATATAAACAATATTGAGATGGATCTTGAATTATATCAGTTAATTTAATCTTTGGAAAAATAACTTCTTGAACACTTTTTGAATACATTAAATTGAACGTATCATTAAATTTTTTAGAAATCAAACGAAATTTACATTGATTTTTAAAAGGGAAAAATTTAATATAATAATCATCATCTCGTAAGGAAGAAGTAAAAACATCTTTATTAAATAGAATAGAATAAAATACACATTTTTATAATAATTTTTTGTTAATCATTTCCATATAAAATAAAAATAAAAATAAATAAAATAAATTAAATACAAAAAATTGTTAATTTTTCAAGTATAAATCCTCTTTAAAATCGGTTAAAGATTTAATAAATCCCTCCAATGACTTTAAAAAAATTAGAGGATTAAGAACAGATAGAGCATGCATCGCTCTGAAAATCTTCTGAATATTCATATCATCAACAAGAAATTTGTAGGGAAGACACCAGTTGAAAGTGCGTAAAATATACTCTTGTTTCATCTTTTTCTGAATTTCTAGAGCAACTTCTTCTTGAGAAAGACCGTTGATAAAAAATGACTTATAAAATTCAAGTTGTTTAATGTTTTTCTTAATAAAACCATACACGATTTCATCTCTTTCATCAATTTTTTGAAAAAGAATACAATCAGAAAATTTTTTTTTCATTTCCTTGTCTTGTTGTTGTTTTACAATTTTTTTTAATTTACAAAATTCAACGGTTAAAGACATTTTTTATTTTCTTAATCTGGAAATAATACAAATTTATAAAGATTTAATACATAACAAAATTAATAAATGCAAATATCACATTTGGAAATTACCAAATGTGGAATCCACATTTGGTAATTTTGATCTTTTTTTTGACAATTTTACTAGTCAAAACGTGCTTTTTTATTAGAATTTTCATTACAAATATCTGTAGTAACAACCGAATTATCAACATTTTTTCGTTTATATGAAGTGCTAGATTCTATCTAAGGATTATTATCCATTACTATCGATGATGTTATTTGAGAATTTAAGATAATTTGTTGTGATTGTGATTCACACTCCATATGATATTCGAAAAGTTCTCGACTCCTCGGATAATCCTGTAGATAACGACACTTGAACTCTGGAAACTTGCGACGCCAATATACCGTGTGACTAACAATAACATGCTCCCCTTCGATTCCTTTGTTAACAATCTTGCTCTTTTCTATAACTTCTGTTAGAGTATTGCAACCGTTTCTATACTTGATATCCTAGTTCATGCTACAAAATTATTTCTCAGTACCCCAATTTATCCCTTCCAACTCACATTGATGAAATGTGATTGTTGTGATGCGCTCATTAATATCATCATTCCAGACCCCACCAAACTCAATTACAAAATCCAAACAATGACCAAATTGACAAAAATCATGCTTGTTATCATCCTCATTTCCATCTCGATTGTTAAAATTATATGCTTCCAGAGGGTTCTTTGTAGTTGTCATAAATATATATTTCGCAAGAAATGGAGCAAACCCATCATGCTTAATTTCTACACTACAACTTGTATCATTTAGCAAATTTACCATATTATTTCACTTGATCTTGGTATAAAACTCATCCAAAAATACGATTTCTTGTCCATCATACTTGTTCCACCAATTCAATCCCGACCTTTGTTTCTGATGTTTATCATAAAATTCATCCTTAAAAAGCTCTTGTACCAAACCAGATTTACCACTTCCACCTGGTCCAAACAGATAAAAAACCATGGGTTGCCAGAATCTTTGAACTTTTTTCTTTCTTTCTTTCTCCAAATCTATATAAATCATCTTTATAGCGGGATAATTTTGAATATAAGGAACACTATCTTTGTTAAATTCAAACACTTGTAACGGTGTAAAACCTTCTGAAAGTTTATTATTCCCCTCAATTACCGCTTCTAATTCCTTGATTTTTTTTTCCTTAAGTTCATCTTTTGCATTCGAAAATTCTTTGAAAGCCAAAAGATCCCGATAAATACTGAACACAAAAGGACCGACGATATTATCCGGTAATTGATTTCCGTCTCTATCAACCCATTGTGCCCACTTTCTCAAAGGCCTACAATTTTCATCACAGGCATTACAAAACTCATCAAGATTCTCGTAACTACACCAACATTTCTTCTTATGAAGCTCACATCTTCCATATAGTTTGGTGCTATAAGCAAGATTTTGTTTCGAATCGCCATTGAGATATTTAGGAAAAATTCATAGCGCTATGACAAAAAATCTTTTTTGCAAATAATACAGTCTGACAGTCCTTGAATTGGAAATATACTTGTTCGTGAAATTGTCCATTAGTAGTTGGTTTGTATTGACCTGAGCAAAATGTTACTCCCAATCCTTCTAACGTGTTAAACTCCTCTTGTGTTTTTGGTAAAACACGTCTACAACATATGTTCTTTTTAACACAATTTGAACAAACAATATCATTATATTCTCACAACTTGCAACAGTTTTTACAACTATTCTTCTTACAACGCCAATGATTTCGTTTACATAATTCACATTCTGGAACAACCCCAGTATTCGCATACTCTTCTTCTTGTGCTTTTTTTTCTTTTTCACTAGGATTTTTCTATATTTGTAACTTTCTAAACATGAGATACAATAGAAAATAGTTGACATAGAATGTTGAAACCTATAATTGCAATAATTTACTATTTTAGAAACTAAAATTCTGTCAGGTGATTACGTATATATTTATATTTTAAGAACTTTGTAAATTTCCTAATATAGACTTCTACATTCGGTAATTTTTAATATTTGTTCCACTCTTACTACGGAAACGCTTGATACAAATAGAAAATAGTAATAAGAGAAAAATAAAACTAAATACAATAACCAGAATAATCAATATAAATTCATATTTTTTTTCATCTTCTCAATCAAGCTTTTCTCGTTCAAATTGTCTCCTCTTTCTTCTTTTTTCTCTCGAATAAAGATTAACTTTTATATCTAAAATATATAAATCTTGAAAAAATTTGAAATTCTTATAATAATGACAGAAATAAATTAAAAAAAACTTTATTTATATTGACAAGTTGAAAATAAGATGTAGATTTGTTTTACATTAGGAAAAAGAAGAGGGTGAAAATTTATAATCTGTTAATTTTTCTTCTAAAATAACATCAATTTCAGTTTCACTCTTCCTTTTCAAGTTTAAAATTGTCGCTTTTCTTAATCTCCGACTCATCTTTTCTCTGTTATTTTTTGTTGTTTTTTGTGTGTTACTAATATTTTCATTCTTTTTTGCAAGTTTTGTGCTTCGCCGAAATTGAATCTTGGAATTAGAATAGATTTTAGAGCCGTGGCTAATACTATAAGATAAGTACTAACTTTTTTTGTTATTGGTGTTTCTTGTTGTTTTTTGTATATTATTAATATTTTCTTTCCTTCTAGCAAGTTTTGTGCT